TTCTTCTCATCGGAGACATGTGATGCAGCACTAAACAGTCTCTCGCTGTCGGTGCTTCGGGCTTGTAATGATTTCTGCGTCTTTCTCTGATAGTTTTAAATACTTTCACACTGCCGTCATGTTTGCTGCATTAGTGCGTGCCTCTATTTGATCGCGTTAGTCATTGTTCGGTACATATTATTCGGCCGAACACCGAAAGAGATTTTTTTTAAACTATTTTCAGCTGAATAATTTCAGTTGCCGAACATTCGGTGCATCCCTAAAATATTGTCTTCTGTTGTCAGTGACACCTCTGTCATGGCCAAATTGACAACATGTAATTATTTATCGAGATTTAGCTGTGTGAAGGTGTTTTTATTGGAACGTGGCTGTATTTGCTCTTGTGCCATTTGTATTTGCAGATGAGAGACTTAATTTTCGTCAGATTGGTGGTGTGAAATGATTCTAATGACCTCAGATCAGTTTCCTCCTTTGATCATCTCGAAGATTTGTCGAAAAGACAATTTCATAGTAGGCAGGGTCAGAATATTACCACATGTTGTTGTTTTTCAGATTTTTACAGTGGAGGAGGTTATAGTATCTGGGACTGTAGCCTTGCAGGTATGGCACACACAAACTGGCTGAGAATAGCACGCTTTGAGACAGGATGTGTAATAGCCATTTTTCCCTACACTTGGGCCTTCACACTGCTGTAGGTGGCACAAACTTGGTGGCAGAGAAGTTGAAAGGCTTCTAGGGATGGGCGACAGTTTTAAGGCACATGCATTTCAGTACCTAAACTATTAACTCATCTGCTCTTTATTGTTTCTGTTTAGATTAACAACAAGGCAGCAACAGGAGAAGAAGTTCCCAGAACAATCGTGGTGACCACCCGCTCGCAATATGGCCTCCCTGAAGACTCTATTGTCTATTGCAACTTCAACCAGCTCTATAAGATTGACCCTCCCACCCTTCAGATGTGGGCCAATGTAAGATTTAAAAGGAGAATTCATTCCTTCATTCACCAAGATGGGCTTTAAAAACAAAAAAACAACATATCTATGCAACAAATTTTTTTTTTTTAAATCTGTGCCACATGCCTTTTGCAGACATTGACACCCATAATACACTTTTGATTTTGATTTGATACAAAATGTAGAAGTTCGATCTGTAATTTTAACAAACCATGGATCTGTCAAAAGTGCGCCGGATGATGCAAAATGGCGCATTTTGCATTATGCAGTAGACTTTGGCTGACAAACAAATGGTGATATTTGGATCCAGGTAACACAGAGAAAGAGTTCACATAGAGAGTACACATAGTTCATTTACATAAACTACTGACATTATAACAGTACAAAGTAGGGTTGTGACGGTGAGGAAATTTTCCCACCAGTTAATCGACGTGTGACAACACGTTTCCTTTTTTTTTCTCCGCTTTTAAATAGCTTGTAAAAGCGGTGTGCGCATTTTACTTTCACTTTCAAATAGCGGCAATTCAGCGTAAAGCAATTGTTCGTTTTTAGTTCGTTAGAATTTTCCCTCTTTTCCTCGCTTTCCTTCGCTATTAAATAGCTTTAAAGCACCGTGCCATTTTACTTTCACTTTCGAATTAGCGTCAATTCGGCATCAATTGCTTGAATGCAACAACAAAATACACCGTCAAACTCACTTTAGCCTATATATAAAACATAGAACTTTTATTAACAAAACGAATAAGAAAGCTTGGAGGCACTGCATACACCGTGATGTCAAATAAAATAAATAAATTACACAAAGTTTAAATAAAGTAAAAATCAGCAAACACTGTGGAACCAATTAAATAAGAAACTAATGTTTAAAAAAACTTCCAAAATCACCTTAGATAAACGGCAAAAGTCAACAGGCTTTTCAAAATCCAAAATACTGCCAAACAGGAGCTTTTGCATTTCGTTTCGAAACTAAATCATCCGCAATAGTCTTGTCTGTCTCACCTCACTCTTCTTGTCTGTCAGCTCCACTCACTCTTCTTGTCTGTCTCACCTCACTCTTCTTGTCAGTCAGCTCGACTCACTCTCCTCACATGATAAATTAAATCTGTGATGCGACTGTCGTTCGGCATGCTGCATTCAGTTTTTAATTTGCATCTAGTTTCGAAAATAAATCATCCGCGATCGTCTTGTCTGTCTCTCCTCACCTCACTCTTCTTGTCTGTCTCACCTCACTCTTCTTGTCTTTCTCACCTCACTCTTCTTGTCTGTCGGCTCCACTCACTCTTCTTGTCAGTCTCACCTCACTCTTCTCAAAACGACGGTGGGGGTCGGTGCCGCGGTGGGCAAGTGACGTAACCGGTGTTGCGACTTAACAACGGTATAACCGTCAACACCGTCTATCGCGGCAAGCCTAGTACAAAGCTGGGCAAACTCGTGCTTTAGAGGGATAGTTCATCCAAACATAAAAATTGTTATCATTTATTCATCCTCATGTTGTTCTAAACCTGTATGAATTTCTTTCTTCTGGCTAACACAAAGATATTTTGAAGAATATTTCTGGTAAACAAACAGTTGCATTGGTCCCCATTGACGTCTATATTATGGAGAAAAAATATATACTGTGGAAGTCAGTGGGGACCAGTAACTGTTTGGTTACCAACATTCCTCTTTCTTTTAAAATTTTTTAAATAATTTGTTTCAGCTAATTCTATTTTATATAGATAAATCGATATTTAGTCATTCCGATTTTTGTAAAAAAAAATTATACAAATAATTCTGAATGATTTTTTTCAACCAAACAGCTGTTGTTGCAAAGTAGATTGAAAAGCCGTTTTTGAATCCCCATCGGGCCAAACCGTTCTCACTACATGCCGTGCTGAACCTCAAATGGAAATATAACTAACCGTTACTTACCATTCTTAGAACCATTCAGGCTGGCTCACAAAATTAACACAAGGAAATGTTGAATATTTTATTTTTTTTATTTACGTATAAAATAAGGTGTAGTTACCTAAACATAACAGAGTTCTGTAATGAGTCAAATTGTTGAAGTAAAAGTCATCAATATTTGAATCAATTCATTGAAAGTAACAGTATGTACTCATTGTGAAACTGCTTGTCTGGCAGCTCCACTCACTGTGCTCTCGGTTTTGTAGATCCTGAAGCGTGTGCCCAACAGTGTGATTTGGCTGCTGCGCTTCCCAGCCGTGGGTGAGCCCAATATCCAACAGTACGCTCAGAACATGGGCCTGCCTGCTTCTCGCATCATCTTTTCCCCTGTGGCTCCCAAAGAGGAGCATGTGCGACGTGGACAGCTGGCTGATGTGTGCCTGGACACGCCGCTCTGTAACGGACACACCACAGGCATGGATGTGCTGTGGGCTGGTACCCCCATGGTTACTATGCCAGGTAATTCAAGCTAGGAGCACACGCTAAACATGGTTAAAAAAAAAATTACATCTCTTAATTTACAGGTATCAACTAGCAGTGCTGGGTAGATTACTAATTTTAAAAAAAATTGTAGTCTGTTACTGTAATTCTGAATTACATGGTGAACACTGTAGTTAGTAACCTAATCTATTACATTACACATTGTAGGTAATATAATCAGAATACTTTATTACTTTTGACCAAACTCGTTTATTGCATTGATTTGATTCAGGCAAATATAAAAGGTGAAAGAGGTTCAGCTGACAAAAATCAAATCAAATCTTTTTGACTGTCATTGTCTATTTTGTACACACAGTGTGGATAAGCTACAACAGGTAAACATGTCAGCTGTGTGGACGCTAGTGCTGAATTAACAGTATTGATTTGAATAGCTCTTCATTTTGATGAACAGATCTTTTAGACTTTCCAGTTTTCTTTTAGTGATCTTTTCATGGCTTTTCAGTTGCAGTGTGCCTAACTCTAAACTTTCTGATTTGGATTTTGGCTAAATTAAACATTAGTTTCTGTAAAAAAAATAATTTTATTTCAGTGCATCACTATTATTAACCTATTTCGTATTAGTGTGATTTGTAAGCATAGCTATTGGTATTTCTCATACTTAGGGCTAGTGGTTTGTTCAGATAACTATACAGATGAACTCACAGCCTTTCAAAGTATCCTCCATTTAGCATACTTAGTAAATGGATAGCATGCTCGACGCAATAGAAAATGTCATCCTTGTCCAGTGTTTGCACTATTTATCTCCAGAAGTTATGACCGTTGAAATTGTCTTTGTATTTGTTTTAAACTGAAGTAATATTCATTAAAAGAGGAAACTCAAAGGTCTTCATTACAACTCGCCAAAATAAAAGTTGGTTTAAACTTTAAGAAACAATAATAATACAATTTATTAAAGGAACACTCCACTCTTTTTGAAAATAGGCTCATTTTCCATCTCCCCTAGAGTTAAACAGTTGAGTTTTATCGCTTTCTAATCCCTTCAGCCGATCTCCGGGTCTGGCGGTAGCACTGTTAGCTGTAGCTTAGCATAGATCATTGAATCTGATTAGACCGTTAGCATCTCGCTCAAAAATGACCAAAGAGTTTCTATATTTTTCCTATTTAAAACTTGACTCTTCTGTAGTTACATCGTGTACTAAGTCCGACAGAAAATGATATTTCGCAGCGCCTGAAAATAGGCTAACTTCCGTCAACATAACCAACGTGACCACCTGCTTGCACAGGGAGCGTGCTGGGGACTATTTTCAGGCGCTGCATAATATCATTGCGCCTGCTGCACCCATGGTACGGCAGCAAAGTTCCTTGATTATTACGCCGGAATGTCGCAACTTTTCATTTTCTGTCGGTCTTAGTACAGAGTTTTCTTAGTACAGTCGGTCTTAGTAGAGTCAAGTTTTAAATAGGAAAAATATCTAAACTCTTTGGTCATTTTTGAGCGAGATGCTAACGGTCTAATCAGATTCAATGATCTATGCTAAGCTACAGCTAAAAGTGCTACCGCCAGACCCGGAGATCGGCTGAATGGATTCGGAAACGGTAAAACTCAACTGTTTAACTCTAGGGGAGATGGAAAATGAGCCTATTTTCAAAAGTAGTGGAGTGTTCCTTTAAAACAATATTTGTAAGGAATGGCTTACCATTTTTCATCCATGATCATAATTTCACCCTGACATCCTGATGTTTACTGCAGGAGAGACACTGGCTTCACGTGTCGCTGCCTCTCAGCTCACCTGTCTTGGCTGTCCTGAGCTCATCGCCCAAAGCCGTCAGGAGTATGAAGATGTGGCTGTGAAGCTTGGCACTGATATGGAATTGTAAGTTGTTCTTGTCAATTTCCACTTTCAAATCAAGACCTGTTTAAGATCCTTGAAACACATTCTTCCTTCGTTCCGCTCAGCCTGAAGAAGGTCCGCTCCCGCGTGTGGAAGCAGCGCATCTGCAGCCCGCTCTTCAACACCAAACAGTACACCATGGACCTGGAGAGACTCTACCTGCAGATGTGGGAGCGTTACGCCGCTGGAGGCAAACCTGACCACATGGTCAAAATGCAGTCTCTGGAGAGCAGCGAGAGCGGATAAGCTAAGCTTGTCCCTGCATGTCCCCCCGACCCCTCATGTCCTCCAGTATGTGACGGTCACAGAGACTCTATGGGTGAGCACTGTGACTATGATCCCCACCAGCTTTTGTTTCCATGAGCCAGAATGTACAGCAGGATGCACAAAGCTGCTCCACTGAGACTCCTCCCCCTTTTCCATCGTCTGACTAAATTGATGTTGGTTGGCTCCACTTTCATTGTTTGTTTCTCTGCTTCTTAAGGGACTTTTCTGTAATTGAAGTGGACTTTATGAAAAAAGTGAGGTCTAAAATGAGAAGGGGCAGTCTTAAAATAATTCAGAAAATATAAAAACGTAAAGTAATCATCACAGATAGGTTTTTTTTTTTAGTTAGGTTATGTGCTTCTTGACCTATTTTAGCTTTATCATGACTTCAATCTGGGTGACGGATACATACCTCGGATCACCAATCTTTTTCCCAAATGAATGCCGACATTTCCGTATGCTATCTATAGAGAAAATACCCTCTCTTTTTCAAAACATGCTATGTGAACATGCTGAATAGAGGAGTGTCTTAAGACACAATGACAGAAGGCTTGCAAATTGCCTCCTGAATTTAAATTTTTTTTTTTTTTTTTTTTACTAGGTAAGTATGTTCTAAGCAGTTTTTGGTTTTGTACACTGTCTTCCTATTAACTCATTTTGTTTATGCACTGTCAGTGTCAATTCTGTAAGGCTCTTTACATAAACTGAAATAAAGAGATGTGGCAAACCTTAAAGAGAGTTGCACATACTTGGCTGCAGTTCTTTTTTCTTTTTCATTTATTCTTCCATTCCTTTTAGAATCTAGCACATACTGGTTATTGTGATCTATATTGCTGATACGGTGTGCAGGGTGTCTTGTTGCTGACAGTACTGTGATGTGCACCCATTGTAAATAAAGAAATGATAAAGAATCCATTTGTCCTATTATTGAAAATAGTGCATCTGTCATCCAGTGTTAGTATCACTGATCATAATGGGCTCTATTCACATCACATTCATTTCAGTGTAGACAGTGTAATTTTATTTCTAGACTTTTATATATATATATATATATATATATTATATTTAACAGGGGAGACTGGGACTAAAGATCACTCAGGGTTGTCACAGATTAGGTTATCTAAGTGACTAACTATGTTTCCATCACCCTGTTTTTATGTGCATTTTGAAGTATTGCATCAGAAACGAGTGATGGAAATGTCAAATAAATAAAAAAATCCCTTAATTTGCAAAAAAAAAAAGGTTTTACGCTTGCTTGAGGTGGTTTTTAACTAGTGAAAAAGAGTTAACGCGAATAATGGGAGCTGGAAATGCATTTGCCGAATAAATTCTTCCATATGCATATAAAAAGTCATGTGACTTAGCATGATGGGATGGCATGACTTGCCTAACCTGCGGACTGACCTCGTTGCACAGCATCTGAAATGTTTTGGTCATTCTGCAATGCCTGAGTCACCTGAGTCAATCAAAGTATTTCTGCATAATTGCCTCCCAGAACTGTCTTACACGACTGCGTTGCCAAACATGCCAAACAGCCTCCGACTGCATTTACTGTGTTTCGTCTGCTCGCTCTGAGGTGCAAGTCATTTATTATATAAATGAAAATTATTATATTCAGTGGC